GTTTCAGCTCGCAATATTTCTGTGTTATGTACCCCTACCTGGTTCAACACCTTAACAGCTTGGTCGTTACTGTGCACTTTATACTTGTGTGTCATCAGCCATCAACAAATACGCATCGAATTTTCTGTAATGACGTGGTGCATGAATATTTCTGCATTTTTGCTGATAGCAACATTCGTTGCACAAGCTAATAGGTTTGACTTGACTTGGCGGATGTTTCAAGGCACACGAAAGAAGGTGAAATAACTTTATTAAACTTATTAAAAGGAAAACTTAAGTTTATTGAAGAAATTTAAATTCAATAGCAAACTTAAACAGTGCTCGAAAGCATTCATGTTTGAACAGCATGTCTGTCGAGGTTTTGTTTCGCCACCGCACCACTGTTTGTTCGATGAGTAGACGTATGTTAGAAGGTATTGCATTCCGTTGCACACTTGATATTCATTACATTGGCGTTATCGGATCCTGATTTCCATCTTGATACGGCGATAACTCCGATCCGGGTGGTGGCAAGTTCAGAATCACCTACATTTTGAATTTTAAAAAATATGCTTCATCATGCATGCTATTAATATGCCTTCTGGTCCATCGGCGGAACACCCATAAGAAACAAGTCCTGAACCGCATTGCGATCTTCCGGAAGTACCTGCAGAGTCTGTATCAGCATTTTATTTTTTTCTGCAACCTCTGGACTCCACTCGCATGGCTGAAGCACCAAATCTACCGTTATTTTTTCGCCTGCAACAACTGAATTAATGCAATGCTATTTCATTGTTACAATATTTCATGTTTTTAGCATACTACAACATATTTTAGTTTTAAGCCACTTTTGAAGTCCAGGCATTGGAATGAATGTATTAAAAATAATAGATTTTCATCTGCTTTTATAGCATTTCCGTCAAACAACTAAAGGTCAGAATATTTAGCTGTTCGTCAATAAGGGTAATATTCTGTATGACCGTCGTTTCAGCTTTCGAAGCATTCACTTAGAGACTCCAATGATAAATGATTTTATTTCGTGGTATGATTAAATATTCAAGCTTTTATTTGATTATTAATTCAGTGG